AGAATCGTCGAAAGCATACGATTTTGTTCACCTTCTTCATTTCATCGCACATTCTCTCCACTTTATCCCACATTCTGCCTTACATGACGAAAATCATCCGACAAAACCTTTCATTCAGCGTCGTTCTCGTCATCGTCCATGAGAACTACACTCATGCGTGCACTAAATCATTCACTTTTCTGTTGTCATTCCAAATTGAATATTTATATGTGCATTCTCAGGGAATATATCATTCACACTGTGATTCAGTAGTTTTTATGAGTGATCTAAACGGAAGAGGTAACGTTAGGTAAGTATATCTGGTATTGTAAAGCTTTTGTGCTGAAGATGCGTTTACCTTTAGTCAGCCGGTAGGGTGACTAAAGGTAGTCAGCCGGTAGGTCAGCCGTTAGGCTGGGCTGCTGTGCGAGGAGTTTGAAAAAATAACAGCGCAAATGAATTATCAGCTACCTGTATGAATTAAAAATGCAATTGAAATGTTCGAATAAACTTTAGCAGAACTTTTTCTTAGTTATCCAAAGAACGCACTATTTTTCTAAACGATCCTAAAAACATGATAGAACGTCATCGTGATGGTGCTTTTCTTTTAACTCGGATATGTAAATGCATTTACTTGATGGCAACACTCTTCATTCTTATGTTTTCTGGGTATCATTAGCTCGTACGGGCCTGGCACGGTTTTCATTCGTTTTAACAAGATTTTCATTCTTTTACTTGCTGCTATAATTACTCTCATAGCTTTTATCACCAAAAGTGTTCTCTTGTGCTAATTTCTCATTCATTTCACTCAACAATCAAAGTCAAATTCTCATTCTATCAAATACACTCTATAATTGATTATTAGACTGTCGAACAATTGCTGCATTGTTGATTTCGGCTGTCCACACGTGTCAACGTATCCAATGAATAGNTGAGCATGTGCTAGACAATAGCTTTTCATGCAATCATATTCGATTGCAATAATGAGGAACACAACGGTCTAGGGGAAGGCCTAGCCATGTCGTACGCCATCATGGTGTTCTTGTGTTAGGGGGAGGTGGAGGTAACGATGGCCTGCCAGATCATCAAAAGGGGTAATCGAGCACCCGAACGTGAGAACCACTGTTCTAGACCATTCTGGTAAATAACGTGCACAAAACTTCCATATAACGCTAAGATACTATCAGAAACTGAAAATCGTCACCATGAACGAAAATGGCCTGTAAAATATCCCATGAGGGTACATGCTCTGTGGTCGTATCGAAATCAGAGAACCCGTAAAAGTGCATTGCAATTATGCAGTGAATAGCAAATTTAAAGGGAATATTATTGACAAACGAATAACGAATGATCAACATTTTTAATGAGTTCGTTCAATTCACTATGTTTGATTTGTATTCATGTTCAAATATTAATGTATTCTTCAAATCGACAGTGTCAATAGCTGAAATCATGCGCGAATTGTCATTCCACATTAACATCAATCGCAAACCACAAATTTAATCGTTTTTCGCTGAATTCGCGATAATGAGAGCTCATTCATCGACTTATCAGCTTGCTGTGTTCAAGTTTCCAATTGCCAACTCGACCGTCATTGCCAAGCGATTCTCTGAATTTATGACGTTTTCATGAGAAAACCATCTTGTTGACAAACTATAGTCTATCTGTAAAAGTGTTATAGCTGAAATAACATAATTCTCCCTCTATTTAGGTAGCACGAACTAAAATCTGTTGCTATCCAATGAGTGTACTGAATTTGAAGAAAAACTTCAAAGTCAGTGTTTGACAATTTATTGGAAAGTGTATCTTTCTAGTTATATGGCCGAAAATAAAGTCGACTGTTTACCGAGAGCTCAGCGACCTAGGGAAGAGGACGAGGTATGGTCGAAGGGCGAAATGGGCTATCCGAGGCGTTCGCTGTTACCTTGCGAAGATACACCAATTGAACTAGTAAGTGATAGTTTCGACTTTTATCCGAAGCAGTCATCGGTATTGTGTCGATTTCATTCTCTTGAAATATTCGAAAAATGCGAAAAGTTTCGCGAAGCATGATTTACTGAAAGACTCGAGGGTGCTCACCGATGTGATCAAATTCGAATTTCAATTGTATGAAATCGCATTATGATTGATTGCCCTCTCTTACCGGGCTACCACCTCTTGGAAATCGTATCAAGCACTCGAATCGTATCTCACCTTTTATCAGTTTTTCTCATTCGAACCCTCTTACGATCCAAACCGTTTCGTCTTGAATCAGTACAGAACAACTATCATATCCCTTCAGCTATCGTATCATTCATCCTACCAACGATACTGTCTCTCATATCAGCCCCCGATCAGTCCACACTGAAGCTCATTTGGAAAATTCGCTTCAGAAATC